TTGTTATCAATTATTATATTTGGTATTTGGTTCCCATCGATTATTGGATATCTTACAATCACTACCATTATGATATGATTCACCATTGTAGTATGATTTCTTGTTAGAATTCGATTGTGTTATTCTTGAGAAATTGATTATCTTGATAAAGTTATTTTTCCAAACCTTTGATTTATATGTCGTATGCCAAATATATTTTTAAGTCACTTTAAATATGCATACTTTTCCATTCACTGGCCTTTTTAGCTCATTTTTTCAAAATGATATTTTTTTTAGGCAAACAATTAGAGTGTCAATAGCGGACTCAGGGAATTGATTGAGGACTAATAGTGTTGTGACCTCCATAGCATATATCGTATAGCCCTCTTTACTTGTTTGGATAATTGGGATAAACAGGTTTAAGCATGTTGACTTTAACATATTAACATGAGATCAATTTAGTGTTAATGTTATTTTTCACTCCTATATTATTAGTTTATTGTTAGGCTTACGTGTTCCATAGGTTATGGATTTTATGGTTCACGGCAGGTCATGCCTTTGGAGTTGGGGTATGACAAGTGCAATTCTTGATGCCACTCAGAGATAACTTTGGGGGGCTTTGTAGATTGATTATCCATCGTCATCCATTACCATCAGTTGATGCAGTGGTTAATGAGCTTCTAACTGCAAAAGGTTCATTTTAAAACTCTTTCTGGAAAGAATTTTCTTTCATTACCTAATCAGATTGTATTGGTTGTACCCCCTAAGTTGCCTTCTAGTTCTCAGGGCAAGTATCGAGGTCGAGCAATCTCAGATGAATATAGTTTTTGTCATGAGAAAGGCCACTGGAAGGCCCAGTGTCAAAAATTGGCGAATAAGAATGTCAAGGGATCATTGAACCAATCCTTTAAGCCTAAAAATTACCATACAACCGCAGTTATAACACCAATGGATGAATCTCCTTCATCGGCTTCCAGCCCGAGTATAATTATTGATCAATTGCAGAAGTTACTTTCTCTCCATCAGCCTGGTGCTAAATCTCACCCTCATTAAATTCATTCACTACATACACTTAAAGTATATCTCGCACCGTTTGGGTCTTTCACTTAGGTGCGACACATCATATAACTAGAGATTTTTCTTAATTTGCATCTATTATTTCTCCTCCCTCTGTATCTACACTTGTAGCCAATGGCACTCAAATGTCTTTGATAAGTGTTAGGACAATTATTTCTTCCCATCTTAGACTTCCTAATGTCCATTACATTCCTTAGCTCACTTTGAATTTAATCTCAGTAAGTCAATTATTTGATTCAAGATTTTTAGTTCATTTTTTCTTTTCTAGTTGTGTTGTGTAAGATCCACAATTCAAGAAGCTGATTGGGACACGCCGTAAAAATGGAGGACTGCATGTGTTGAAAGAGCTCCATGTTCCGAAAGTTACTTCCTATACTGTTGACTTATTTTCTTTTTGTTTGAAATCACAATCTTCTAATTTTTATTTGTGACATTCTCGCCTTGGTCATATTTTTCATTCTTATTTAAAATTTATAACTTCTACTTGTAGATTGGGCAATTTAGAGGGTCATGACATTTCTGATTGTAACGGATGCAATTGGCTAAATTTAGGGCATTACCTTTCAATAAAAGTGTTACTTGTTCCCTTGCACCATTTGATCTTATTCATTCTAATACATGGGAACCGGCTCCTATTCCTACACAAAGAGGGTCCAGATATTATATTTCCTTTATTGATAATTATACAAAGTACTTTTGGGTATACTTGGTGAAACGTCGGACAAAATTCTTTTCAATTTTTACTGATTTTCGTAATATGGTCCGCATTCATACTCCATTGTCATTAAATGTTTTTGATGTAATCAAGGAGGTAAATACAATCTTACTTCTTTTCATGATCTATTGAAATTTGATGGTATACTTTATCAATCATCTTGCACTAACATATCTGAGCAAAATGGTGTTGCCGAACGTAAACACCGTCATATTCTAAAGAAAGCACGCTCCCTTCTAGTATCCGCACATGTTCGCAGCTCATTTTGAGGGGAAGCAATTCATTTGATCAACTACATTCCTACTGAAGGATCAAAATATCGTTTTGAAACGGTCGAAACGTCCGAAACATTTCTGTTTTCATGGGGAGCGAAACGAATCAGTGATGGAATCGAAATTCTAATTCTTCGAGGTGTTCCATAATGTTTTGAAATGTTATTATATTTCAATGCATTTGCACAATTATTTCAGAATGTTTCAAGATATTTTCAAGATATTTTGGTATATTTTAACCAATATTTTAAAAAAAAAAGTCTTAAATTTTTATTCTTTTCATTTTGTTTCCAAAACGAGTCGAAACATTTCCGAAACACATCGAAATATTTCCGTTTCCAAGGCGACCAAAACGATGCACCAAAACGAAATTTTGATCCTTGTTCCTACTGTTCTCAGCTTTGGAATCTTCCCATTTGAAAAATTGTCTAGTAAGCGGCCTAACTATTTTTTTTTACTTGTACTTAGTTTTATTTGCTTTATTTTGCTCCCTAGTGTTCTTCATATCAAAATATTTGCTCACTCAACTTTATGTGTCTTTCTTGGTTATAGTGAGGGTCAAAAAGGGTATCGCTAATATGATCCATTTACCCACAAAATTTATGTCTCTTGCCATGTTGTCTTTATAAAGTACATTCCTTTCTTTTCAATTCTATCTAGTTCTTTCCCACTGAATAAGTCTGACCTGCAATACATTGATCCCTTTCTTGATAATGCTCCTTATGACACATGTTGGTGATTTACCAATGTTACATCCTTCCTGCTCTGAGTTGCCCGTTCCTCGTCCCCTTATTGTGCATACATATTCGCAAAAATTCAGCTATGTCCTCTACATATGTGGTGCCTCCCTTCTCTCCTCCTACCACCTAATCAAGGTCAGATACTATAGATTATACCCCGCGCTATCCTCAGCGCTCTCACAAATGTCCAGACAGGTTTAGTTAGAGTAACACTTGTTATTCTTCTAACTTTTGTTCTTTCCTTACTTCTGTTCACTTCCTATTTGAACCCATCTCCTATAAGGAGACTTTACTTGATTCACTTTAGAAACAGACAATGGATGAGGAGTTGTCTGCCTTACATAAGACCAGAGCTTGGGAGCTAACTTTACCACCTAGTAAATACACTATTTGTTGTAGGTGGGTTTATAAGATAAAAACTAAGTCTGATAGTTCTAGTGAACGATATAAAGCTCGATTAGTAGCTCAGGGTTTTGCTCAGGAGTATGGTCTACACTATAATGAGACTTTTGCCCCAGTTAGAAAAATGACCACCATTTGCACCTTGCAGCTGCTATCATTCATCAATGGAGTTTGTCTCAGATAGATGTAAAAAATACCTTTCTTCATGAAAATTCAAGTGAAGAAGTTTTTATGATTCCTCCTCCTGGATTATCTCATAGTCCTGGTCAAGTATGCCAACTTCACCGAGCTTTAAATGGCCTTAAACCAGCTCCAAGGACATGGTTTGTCAAATTTTTTTTGGTTATCTATGACTTGAGTTTTCATGTCAATGACCATGATTCTGCTCTCTTTTTATAGTCTACTTCCTCAAGTTCTATTATTCTCTTTTTATATGTTGATGGTATGATTATTACAGGTGATGACACTGCTGATATAACAAGACCATTTTGAGATGAAAGGTTTAGAACAGCTTAGGTATTTCTTGGGCATTGAGATTACTTCATCTCGTAAAGGTTATCTTCTCTCTCATTGCAAGTATAATTCGGATGTTATTCAAGAAGCCCGTTTATTAGATAATCGGACAGTTGAAACACCTTTAAATTTCAATGTTCGTTACTCTTCTTCTGATAATACTCCCTTGTCTGATCCTACACTCTATCGTGCTATTATTGGGAGTTTAGTATATCTTATAGTCATTCGTCCGAATATCTCCTACATTGTTCATGTTGTTAGTCAATTTATTACCTCACCCACCACTGTTCACTGGGCTGCTGTTATTGTATTCTTCGGTATCTACGAAATACTCTACATCAGAGTTTATTATTTTCCTCCTCCTCTTCTATGAAACCTAGGACTTATTCGGATGTGGATTGAGCAGGTGACTCTATGGACCGTAAGTCCACTACTAACTTCTGCCTTTTCCTCGGTAATTCTCTTATTTCTTGGAAAAGTAAGAACAAAATTTTATTTCTCATTCATTTACTAAAGTTGAATATCGTGCTATAACATCTACTGTAACTGAGATAATTTGGTTACGATGGCTTCTTGCTGATCTTGGCATCAAGTTACCAACTCCTATGTATCACGACAACACCACTACAATTCAGATTGCTCATAACTCAATTTTTCATGAGTTCACAAAGTATATTGAGATTGATTGTCACTTTGTGTGTCATCAGCTTCAACTAGGAACCATCTCTCTTCCTTTTCTGCCTTGAACTCTGCAATTAGCGGATTTCTTTACGAAATCTCATATCATTGCACGTTTTCAATTTATCCTTAACAAACTCTTGATGTTTTTTACTGTCACATCATAAGTTTGAGAGATGGTGTTAGAGAGTTTAGTTTATTATTAGTTTTATTAGGGATAGTTTAGTTATTTTTGTTATTTTATGTTGCCCTACTATATAAGGGCTTCCATTGCATATATCTGGTTATGACTTTGACAGATTATTATAGCCATACTATATTTTCGTTCTTTTCTCTTTCTCTCCCCTTTGTTTTGATCAATATTATCACCACGGAAAGGCACCTTTGGCACCTTTTTGGCTTAAGCAACACACTGATAAATCATGCTGCCCTACGAGCTAAGAGGAATACTTTCAATTTAAGATGTCATTCAATTTCTTTCTATTTTTTGGATCTTCTTATAAGGGTGATATCGTTTAGAAAAAAACTTGAAGCATAACTATATCCTAACTATATCCATGAATAACGTACCTTACAAGTAATATTGAGTAATGTATTAAATAAGATTATATCAGGTGTAATGATGCATCATGTTGGGCTCTTCATATCTGCAAATATAATGCCATTGTATCCAACCTATAATTGAGATGCCACATCACTTACCACAGAACAAGCGCCCAGAACTTCCTCGATAACCTTCATATTTCTGAACATATGCAATGAATTCCATATTCTTTTGTTAGTTGTTTTATTTGCCAAAAAAACAACGAACAGAGACTTTTGTGTCCCATCTTTAACATCAATTTCTTTTGGTGCTTTGACTTTAAAACTGGTACATGTACTACTCTCTTCATTCTCTTCATCCTTTGCATTCTCGTTTTCTGAAAGATTAGTGACTGATGCAAAATTCCATGTCCAACCCACTCGTTGTAAATCAGATACAGTTTCAGGATGTGCATCTAAAAAGATAAGGATATCACCTGGCAACATTCTGTAAGGCTCCCCACCGTGATCACTAAATCTGTTTTTCCACTCATCAATTATAACATTGTATAGAAATGTTCCATATGGTTTTGCCTCATCAAGGGAGATCACTTCTCCAAAAGGTGCTTTGTGTATAAGCTCCATACTGGAAGCAAGTTCTGCTCGTGTGTCTTCCAGTAAAGGATAAACAAATGAATCAAGATATTGTTCCACGGATTGAAAGGATTTCGGAATTTTCTTCACCTAAACACAATGCAACATCATTTGAATCCACAAGATATTATAAACTAAATTTCTCCGTAATCCGAACAAGTAAACATTATATTTTGCATTGAGAAGACTTAAAAAAAAAGCTGTCCTATGGAATGAACAACAATATAGCACAAGGAAGCTTTTTTTTCAAGTGGTCACAGCTGACTCCACATATATATAGATATATGATGCAACTAAAATTGTTTACCAGCATCCTAGTCAATGAAGCCAGCTATTGCAAGTTAAAAGCTACTTCTAACTCAAGTGAGGACCATAGACCACTTGAGTTTGGGATTTTGCAGAGAGCTTGCTTAGACTCCTGTTCCATCATGCCTTGGGTCAAATTCAGTCTTGTTACTTGCTTGTTTTAGGTTTTGACCTATTGAAAATATTTTATATTTTTCAGTATGGTTGAGTCAAGAGTGTTTTTGGCCTTTTTAACAACTGCTAGACATTGGTCTGAGCTAGCCATAGACCACGGGTCATATTGTTATTCTATGTGACCCTTGACGTGCATAGAATAGTTTAGAGTCAAAGACTCATCAATTTACTAGTTATTGAATCATAATCCAATCAGAAGTAGGAGAATTCCATAACAGATTATGCATGTATTCTTTTGAAGCTTTTGCTTAATGCTTTATGCAACCTATCCTGAGGGTAACTCCTGGGAATGCTAAGTGGGATCGTCAAATATTCTTCTATAGGATTCTATTGTTTTTCCTCTTCTTTCTGCACATCAATACCTGCACTCAAACCTTCCAAAGATCGAATAATCCAAAACCCAGTTTTAGCACAAATAGCTAAAAAAACCAAAACATTGTTATCAGGTTACCCTTTACAGCCCCAAAACAGGTCCAATTCCCTTAAGATGTCATGGTAGCATTTATCCAACTGTGCTACAATGGCTTTGGTTTTCAGCATTTAAGTTTATACTGCAAACATAAATTCGCTTTCTGCCCAAAAACTCCAAACAAATCCCCAATTCTGAAAACTGTGCAGCCATTTCATTTTAAAATCAACCATAATCAGCCCCTAAAGACTTTTTCTTCCGCTACCCAACAGGTACTTTCGATCAAAACTTGTAAGCAAGTATTTCTTATACTTGTCCTACATCAATATCTTGACACAAGCCCTTATAATGATTTCCAGTAATTTTCCTTTATAGATTAAGTCCTAAACAAATATTTGAGAGTTTTGTCGTTCATTTAGCTTATATCTTGTGCAATCGACGTTCAGACTTCCAAATTTTTTCATTCTTGATTTTTACAAGGCTAGTCCAAGGACAATAAGTCTTTTCTAATTTGGTATGTTACCAGCTTGATGTTGCTCTTTCTTGAAGCCACTAATTAGACTAAAAATGCAAGTTGTTTAATACTGGTATTAATTCTTGACTAAAATGGCTGGTAAAATTTACCAGTCATTTTGCTGAAAAAGGATTTCAATTCAATTACCGAACTAAATCCCCTCCCTGGATGTATAACACATGATTTCCCAAAGATAACTTTACAATATTAGACCACTAGAAAAGTTCTCCACATGATACAAGTGAAAGCCATCCACATTTGCCGTCCAATTATTACTACAAATTTAAATATACAAATAGTAGCTGAGCATGTGACCAAACATTTAAAGATACTGAATTGCAACATATTCATCTACATATCCTTGAATCAAACAATTGCCATATGGAGCTCTATGCTCAAGCATAAAATATTTATTTTCAACTCCATTACTTTAGCTATATGTTTGACACAATAACATAGACACTGTATCATAATAAATCCACATTCCATGTGACATCTGTTATTAGCGACCTAGGACAAAAGAACATTTAGTTTTTCCACAACGAGGAGATAAAACCAAGTTGGTAAAGAGAAAAGAACATTCAGTATAACCTTTAGAAAATCAATCATGGGTTCCCCTCCTATTTGACATATATAGATATTACTAAATCAAATGTGGCACTGGCCTCAGGGCCGGAGCTAGGATTTTGTTTGAGTGGGGACAACCTAAAAAAAAAATTCACATCAAAAGATCATCTATTTCCTGAATAGGAGACGGTTGTTCTAGTGTTGGTTTTCTTACAAGAAATCTATCTATAACTGATTAAAAAATGAATTTGTTTAATTAGATTCAAATTTAATAGTTCGTCATTAAGTTCGTAATAAATGACATAATGTACTATACATAATCAAATTGTAATCCATAAATCCACAATACTTGTGTATATTTGTTGCTGAAATATTAGATCTAGTTCCCCAGTATTTTGGTCTTTTTGTATAGAATTTTTAATTGAAATAGACAAGTTTTTAGAGTAGAATTTGTGTGATTCACTGCAGTAGATTTTTTGTCCTACTCATGCTTTACTCTATGTTAAAATTAAAGTGATATACTACAGCAACAATCAACATCTGTTTTGTTTTCTTAAGGCTTGTTCTTGTGGTTTTGGTGAGATAATTCCTACTATATACTCCAATACCAAGAACCAAATAAGTCGATTTGTTGATGAATATACCAAAGCTTCCAAGAATCAAAGGAAGGAAAGAAGTGAGGGCCGGTGAAGAAAGATAGAGTCGCAGAAACTGAAGTTCAAATGAAGAAGACGTCGAGTAAAGGGCATTAAATGAGGGAGTTGCCAAAATTATGTTTAATGGTTTTAAAATTACTCTAACCCCACTTATAATTTATAAAAATTTTAGTGGAGGCAAGATTCATAAATTTTTTAAATTTTCAAAAATTTATCTAGGTCCTAAAACTATTCAAAAATCCAGTCATACTAAATTCGCCCCCCGGCTTGAATGCTAACACTAAAATGCCGACATTGGCAAAATCCTTAAAAAATTTAAACAATCACATCCTCAAAAATTTTAAATAAGCGTCGTGTCTTCACAACAAGAAGAAAGTTAATTTCCAATGTATAAGATTAAAACATGATGACTTTAAGCCTAAGGACGGACCCCGCCCTTTCCAAGTATATGCCTATCATTTTTCTCTTTGTACAAAACACTAAAAACTATAATATACACACCCTTAGGGGTGGTCCAGTGGTTGGGTCTGTCCTTTGGTAACCAAGATGTCTCAGGTTCAATCTCTTCCCACACTCTCTAAGGACTAGCCACCCTTGTCCCTTTAGGAATATGCTCTACACCAGCTCAAGCCACGGTGGTCAGCCGCTGGGTTCGAGAAAGTGGTTGGCACAAGCCTACACACCCTATAACAAAAAAATTGATAAGAATTGACACTCGACCAATTATTTTACCAACGGGCGTTTAGTTCAAAGATACTCCTAACCTTGTAAAGACTTTGACTTCTTGAGGTGAAGACTTTGACTTCTTGAAGTCAAGAATTCAACTTTCCTCCAAAATAAATAAATAATATGTGCTACAAATATTGTCTTACACTAAGCATTCCATGGCTGAAGATAAGATTTGTATCTAAGAAAAAATCACTCATGTTGCACAAAGAAAGATGAAAAAGAACATAACCAGGAGTATATACATCTGTATTTATATATCTTTGTATGATGACTCCTCCACTACGTGTTCCACTCTCGTTGACAAAATGGTGATGTATTTTAATTGCATTATATAAACTTCTAATTAGATTTTCTATGTCCATTGAAAAGAAAATCATACTTTTTATTTTGAACAAAAAAGAAATTCATTCTTAACGTCCAAGATTTGTCCGTTACGTTCACGAAATTATTTTAAGAATTGTTGGCCATATATTTGAAAATAGAAATTTTATTTTTTAACTGTAGACACTTCGTGCTGGTAACCAGGTGGAACCCTCTTCAAATGTCCATGAGATCAACTCAATTTATCTTCATACGAATTATGTACATTGGAAGAAGTAGTATTATTCTTATTTAATTCTCGCCCCTCATGCCTTCCAAAAATGTTAGTACTGAAAGACTTATAGTGCAACTAATCAAAGATCATTTTGTGTATTAACAAATAAATGTTCATTTTGGAACTTATATTATTTTTATGAAAGGGATATTGATGTTGAACTTAGTCATGAATTAATCAAAATAATTAATCATTGCGTGCATCTATCCTTGGCTTTCTTTTCTCCTTTCATTTACTATTGCACATCCCACCTACCACCACAGCTGCAACCTGTCACCACCCACCATAGCCATGCACCACTGCCACCACCACCAGCACCGCCCATAAACACCCACCACCAACATGCACCAACATCCCTCGCCACCACCATCACTGTCAATACCACACATCACCAACATGCACCATAGATCACCAACGCCGCCGCCACCCGCCACATCCACCACCATTGCCACTATCACCCCTACCACCACCACCCAAATGTGTGTGTGTGTGCGCGTGGTTAGGTGAGTGTCTATTCGAGGATATATTAGTAATTGTGACATATTAGTTTTTTTTATTTTTTGTTAAATAACTAAACCAACTCTTTGGTGAAGTGATTTTTATTAAGACTTTTCTTTGAGAGTGTGAAATATGGGATCGACCTTGAACATTGAAGTAACACGATGTGACATAGAGGGAGTCAATAGGTTTATGCACTCAAACGCGGAATTATGTCCAAATAAAACCTAACTCAATTATAAATTTGAACCCCCTTGTTACTATGACCTTTAACCTAACACTGAATATGTATGTCCATTTTAATGCAAGTTTGTTTAACACAATTTACTATCACCAATCAGCTAAAATTTATGAAAATTGACTCGTTCAATCAACACACATGAAATTCAAACATTCATTCATGCATAAAGAAGGAATAAAAATCATAGGTATGTAAAAGCAAGCAATCACACAAAACTTATAATTTGTATATGAAAACCCTTTTGAGAAAAGCCACAAGACCAATCCTAATCCACTAGTCTCAAAGTTAAATTACAAGTTCAAAGACTTGTAACTCAACCAATTCCATGGCTAGAAGCTCCCTCCCTTGAATCTTCACTCTGGAAATTCACCTCATGCTTCTTGACATCTACGAATCGAGATCTACGGTCCTTTTCGAATCCTCTCGTCGGTCATTGAGTCTACTCCTTAGATCCTTTGTATTGTGGATTTGATTGGTATTCAAAATACTCAATAATATATGTTCAAATTATTCATCAGAATTTTTGTTGATCTTGAACGGATTGGGCTTTCATCTATTCAAGGGTGTTTTTTCTCTTGAAAGTATAGCCTTTCTGTAGTACCCGATAAATTCAAGACACGGGTCTACACTATAGAAAAACAAATGGCAAAAATCATCAATTGACATGCTAGCGGGGGCCCAACAGTGTCCTACCGGATTGATACAAACAACAATGTCACGATAACATTCAAGTGTCACGGAGGTGTCCAATACCATAGGAAACATCAAGCAAAACAAAAAAGGGCGGAACACATCCTTACTACATCGATATCGCCAGTGGCAAAATGGACCCTTGACCAATGACAGACGAAAGTGCCACCGCAGAGGTCTGGGGGCAACTTTGGCCAACTCGTCTCTCCCATTGCTGAAACAAGACATAAAATTGAAATTTCACAGCTAAAGGGATTGGTATCCTCAACCTACCGGACACCGTTGCTCGACTATCCCAGTGAACTAAGAGAAGGGATCCAACCAAGGGACAACGTAATATGACCCTCCTCAAGGGAGAACAAAGCAACGAGAGCGGAAAAGCATTTTCATCAATCTCAATCTTGGACAAGGTCTCAAAAGTTTAGTCTGCTCGAGCAGTCCTGCCAGTATATAGGTCACTAGATGTCTAGATCATCATATGGGATAATGGGACATGTGGAGTGGTGTCTGAAGGACCGAAACTATGAAGGTTTTCCTCTATAGGGCACCTTAACAAAGGTCTCAAGGTGACCAATCGTGGGCATTGACCTTGGAAGTCCCATTTTGCCTCGACTGAGACACCTACCCCTCTTTGGGGGCAATTTCTGCATTACTTGACCATTGTTGGACATTGATTACTATCTGGTATGAGATAGGCATCTTGGTTGGTAAGAGCATTTACTT